TCAAGGTGGGGGATAGATCTCGTGGGTCCCCTGCCGCAGGGCTCAGGAGGTCGAAAATTCGTGATGGTTGCAGTTGATTACTTCACTAAATGGATTGAGGCCGAGCCGATGGCCACGATCACTGCTGAGCAATGCAAAAAGTTCGTATGGAGAAACATCTTATGCTGGTTCGGTGTTCCCATGCAGGTTATCTCTGATAACGGGAAAAAGTTTGATTCCGAGCCCTTTAAAGAATTTTGTGAGCAATGGGGAGACGAGGCTAGCAGGGCATCCGTCGTTTACCCTCAGTGCACCGGACAGGTTGAAAACGTGAACAGAACGATCGTTGGTGGCCTGAAAAAGAAGCTGGAATTTGTGGGAACAACTTGGGTAAACGAGCTCAACAATATCTTGTGGGCCTACCGGACAACCCCAAGAAAAGCAATTGGGGAGACCCCGTTCGCCCTAACCTATGGGTTCAAGGCACGAGCACCCTCAGAAGCTCTAATCCCGAGTAGAAGGGTAGAATACTACGATCGCAGGGACAATGAAGAAATGTTGAGGGCAGAGCTTCATCTAATTGAAGAAAATAGGGATAGAGCCTTCATTAAAGCCGAAAATTATAGAAGACGGGTGAAGGAGTACCACGACGCAAAAGCAAAACCAAGGCAATTTAACATTGGGGATCTAGTTTTAAGAAGGAGGTTGGCCAGCAAGCCCCTAGAGGGTGGAAAATTTGCCAAGAATTGGGAAGGTCCGTACAAGATCAAAGGGATAATCGGTCCTGGGACCTACAAACTATGTACTCCTAAAGGAAAACTGATGGATAGAGTATGGAACTCCGAGCACTTGTTAAAGTTCTACCAGTAAACATGTAATCCTCTATTTTTTGCTTCAAATTTCAATAAAAGTTTGATTGTATTCACAAAGTCCTTTATAAGTTACTTGCGAAGGTTTCTCAACCACCCAAAAAAAGGCAAAGGTTACACCTAATTGGTACTTGCAAAAGACAAAGTACAAATTCCGAACTCATCTAATTTCAGGAGCTGAACCTAGTCCTCCTAAGGACGAGAGCGGGAAAAAAACAACCTTTCTCAAGGTTAAACAGCCCTATACACAAAATCAAATTTCCTCAAACAGGAAAAGACAACCTTTTGCAAGGTTAAGATTTTACAGGGTTAAAGATGAAACTTATGGAATTAACTTTGCACCGGAGAGGCTAACAAGCCTCGCCAATTAAGAGGCCAATCACCAAGGTCCAAGTAACCTAGGGTGAGACCCACCCAATCTGGCTCAACTGTTAAGAGCCTACGGGTCTGCAATTGGTAATGTCATCCTTAACAAAGGAAAGACGACCTTGACCGGAAATTCAAGGCCAAATACATAAAGGACCAAGTGAGTGAAAACAACTAAGCAGGAAGGCTCGAGGGCCACCCTGAAACATGTGGATTACACAGGTTCGAAGCGGAGGTCAACCCCCAGAGACAATGAAGCCCAGAAAGAACCGGAAGCCTCAGAAAGCGTCAAAATAATGGACAGGTCAAGTCAAGCAAGCCACAGAGACGATCAAGAGAGCAGTCATCAAAATATCTATGTGTAGGAAATAGAGTGAAAGTATAAGATGTCCATTACACGCCACCCCAAGGGTGGAAAACAACTGCAGGCACGCATGCCTGGAAAAGATGTTTGTTAAAATGTCATCAGAGAAAGTTTTATCAGTTACCAGGTTGAGCAGGAGGAACCTCAGAAGCAAGGGCGTCGGCAGCCAGGGTCTCTTCAGGGGCCTCTGGATTTTTCATCAACTCTAGAAGACCCCAGGCCTGGGAAGAAAAGGAAGGGTCTCGCTTTTCAAGGAGGTCATACAGGGACTTCTGCATCCTGTATAGGCCCAGCTGAAAGCATAAGGCCCCCTCATCATCCATCTTGGCTTCACCTTTAGCCGTCTGAAGCCATCCTAGTGTTATCTCCTCTCTCCGACCCAGGATGGCATGTTAAACCTCAGCCTGGAAATCTCCAATCCCCTTGAAGGCCTCGACAGCTCCTCCTCCATCACCCGATGTGCGGCCTCAGCGTCATTCAACCTTTTCTGCAGCGTCTCGCCCTTCTGCACTACCACCTCCAACCTCTTCACCGAGTCAGCAGCCTGTTCCTTGAGGCCAGACATCAGGGTCTGGGCATCGTCCTGCCCCTCGTCTACAAGACGGGAGCCTGAGGAAGCCAGAATGAAGGCCTGGAAGCAACAACACCAGAGTTATGAGAGGAAGACAAACCAGAGATCTCAAAGTAACGGTGAAAATAGCAAACGAGGCATACCTCGGATAGAGAGTGGACGGCACATTGGATGGCTGTCCGAGGAGACAAACCCCAGATCTCCTCTTTATCAATGGGAGGAGTGATAGCTAGGCCTAGCGACATCGGGTTCACGGTGTGGCAGAACAGAGAGGCGGAGCGAGACTTCATGGAGAGGCGAACAGAATGGATGGGCCCCGAGGTCTCCCCATGATTATCACCTCCCTTGGACTGGGCGTCCGAGTCAGAATCCACATCAACAACATCATCATAGGATTTAACAGCAACTTTTCCTTTCTTCTTGGGCTCGGAGATAGGCCGGAGTGCCAGCCTCTTCCCAACCCCCTTACCAATGTGGGGCTGAGGGTCAACAACCGGCATATTCAGATGCCCAGCACCATCTCCGGGGACGGATCCCCCTGACTTCTATGAGGCGGACCCAACGGTCCCCCGTGTCTTGATCTTCCTGAGAGGAACTAAGGGACCGGGAGTGGCACCAACCTTTGCCGCAAGTCGTTCCAGCCGGGAAGCCATCTTGTCACCCGCTGTAACAAACAGAAATCGAGTCAGAGGGAGAACATTAAGAGGATGAAACTTCAAATGTGAACACCAATTCAGACAAAGCCAACCTGGCAAAAAAATAAGCACAACCACTCTGTCCTCGCCTACATAATGGCCCATCAGAAATGGCGGACCATCAGCAATCAGCTTGGCAGCCTCCGCATCATATTGCCCTCTAACAGAAAAGGCATAGCCCACTTCCGAATCATCTTTCCCCCACTTGTTCTCAAACTGCACCCTGCCACCCGCAGGGGTGACCCAGACCCATTTCTCCATCCAACCCTTGAAAGAGTCGGGATAAGATTTGGCCTTGAATAAATGATGGTCGACCCGCTGAGAAATCGAGAGGTAACCTGGGGACTCAGAACCACTAGGTCGTACAAAGTGAAAGAAATGCAGGAAGAGATCGATTACAGGGCGAGTACTTAAATGCAGGCATCGGGCTAGGAACCCAACTATGAACATATGGGTAGTTGGGGAAAATTGACTCGGAATCACGCCATAATAGCCCATAACGCTCAAATGGGCATTATAGAGAGGGAATCGAAGGCCTACATGCAAACTGGCTAGATGTACCCCACAATGAAGAGGAGGAGGGGGGTCTACGATGTTCTGCCCAGGGGAAGGGCGGGAACAGACTACACTATGGCCTGCAAGGGCCACCGCCTCGCCGAATTCGGCGTCAAATAGAGCGACAGCCGGGACTTACCGGACGTAGTCGCAAGAAAGGAAGAAGTGTGTTTCCCTCCCATCCTGGTCCACCGGGATGTGGGGCCAGTTGAAGGTGGCCCCGGCGTCGGGAAATACGTGGTGCAGAGGAACAGAACTCGAAGATAGACATCACGGAAACTAACCTGATGAAGCTTGAAGATGAAGGCCAAAGCGGAAAGGAAAAATTGCGGAAGAGCGTAATGAAAGGCGATGGGTGTTTAAATAGCCAAGGAATTAGGGCCTGGAAACCGTCTGGGAAACCGTAACGATAACACTTGAGTGCCGAAGATGGTAAGTCGAGTGGGAAACTGTACCGGGTTGCAGGCCTATGTCAGGACGGGCGCATTTAATGTGAGCGGCACTACAGTTCACCCCAAAAGATTCCAAATTCGAAATTGTTCGCTCGAATTACTCTCCTAAAATCCATCCTCGCTGATTTTAGAGAGTAGGGGGCTCGTGACGGTACCATGGGATTCAACCATGGCCCAACTGCGAAGATACAACCCAAAAGCCCACAACGGGATCAAGCCTTTAACGGGATTAACCCTTAAATGGGATTAATGTTAGAGAACCGCTGGGTCTAACTAGGAATCAAGCCCACAATAGGAACCCACAACCAGGCCAGGCTGGGAAGCAGGCCTTGAGCCTGAGCGAAGTTCTGGTGAGGCTGGAATGTTCCTAGGGCTGACGTGGCACACTATCATTAGATCGGCAGCTGGCAGGAGCTGACGGCAGGAACGTGTGAATAAAGGAACAATCATTACATAAACGGTGAAGACGTTACAAAAGTCCTATTCGAACTAAAGATGACTTGTAAACCTCATGCAAAGGGATCGGAAATCCAATCAATAAAATATTGCCTTACGTTGCCGTACTTTCACATGTTTTCGTAGAATATAACTCTCGTAGTTGGATTAAACTCCATCACTCACTTTCCTTTTTTGACCGTAACGTAACACTCATATCTTCTCATTTCTAAATCTTCTTGTTTTACTCTCAATAATTTTGGAAATAATACACTATTATAATTACTTTTTTGGATTCATCTTTCATTCTAGCACATCATTTCTTTATTTTCCTATCGTACCCCCAATAATTTATATTCTCTTTCACTATTCTTAATCTCACCTACTTTTAAACGGGAAGATATATGTGTGGGAAGATATATGTGTTATAGACAGGGGCGGAGCCAAGGGGTCGAGGGGTTAGCCGACCCCGCTGAAAGTTTGAGAGTATAAGGCTCTGAAATATCTTCGATTTGATATATTATGGCCCCCGTAACTCATTACGAGTAAAAAGTTATGACCTCCAGAAAATCAACACTATCTAAACGTATAATCAGCAAAATTTGATGCATACTACAAATTATTTTCCCAAATTTTAAAAATAAGGTATAATTCACTCAATACTTACATGACACGACTCAGAAACAGAGTAAAGACAATCTATCTTATTGCTATGAATGTTTATTTATCTAAATTGCATATGAAATATTCAATTCAGACATTGTTTAAAAATAATCCTCAATTTCTATTTTGTATATAGGTTGAGTTTCACCCGTTAGCCGTTTTTCTGGCTCCGTCAGAGGTTATAGAGGTAGTACATTACTGAACTAGAGATTACGAAAATAATGAAACAACTAGCTAGATTCACGAATACAAATCGCCAAATATCAAGAATAGTTTTATGTGGGTGGAGCAAGGTTAAGATCAAGGTCAAGGCTGTTCTTGAAAATGCCGCCATCAACATTGCTGTCATCCACCGCGGACGACGAGTCTGAGAAGCTGTGAGCGCCGCCGCCCTCTCCGCTTTTGGGAGATACAACAGCCGGCGGCTGGAACCAGTACGCCAGCCTGTACTGGGCGTGGTTGACCACCCCCGGGCCCCACAGTCCATGATAGACCAAAACCGGTTGACCATTTGGCAGGACCGCCACATGAGTCGGCTGTTTATGAGCAAAAGAGTGTGGCCTATTCATTGATCCACCAACAATACTGCCTCCGGCAAAAGGGTGGCGCGTGAGTTCAAGCTTTGGGGGTGGACGGGGCGCGTGAGCGCCCCTACCAGTTGAGGAAGACTCCAACGTGCTGGTGAGGGTTGGGCTCTTGTTTCCCGACGGGAAGGGGAAATTGGTCTTCGCCTTAGCTCCGCGGAAGGCCCTAGCGGCGGCGTCATAAGCCCTCGCCGCCTCCTCCGCGGTGTCGAAGGTGCCCAACCAGACCCGTGTCTTCTTTCCCGGGTCTCGGATTTCGGCGGCGTAACGTCCCCACGGCCTCTTCCTCACACCCCTGAAGTGCACCTCCTTAGCACCGCTTGCATTTCTGCGTCCGCCGTTATCGCCGCCGGCGACTTGACCTTCGAGAGCCATATATAAGGAAATGCAAAAGAGGATATAATGATGGTGAACGGAGAGAATATGAGCCGTGAGATGTTATATAGCGGAGGAGATATGGGCCAATGCGTGGTCAAAGAGAAGATTGACCGGAGGTAGAGTGTAATTATGGAGAGATGTTGGAAGATAACGTGGCAAGCGGGCGTTTCAGTGGAAATGGGTTGATTATTTGGGTGCCGGCTTTTCAGTCGGCCGGCCTGTAGGCTATGCTCTGCGTCGCGTTCATATTTCACACGTACCAAGTATAATAACATCTGCGCCGATTCCGCCGGTTGAACCGATTATGGATAACCATGACCTCATCCACCTTAATTGTGACGGTGTATACGTACTATTACCTTTGTTCTTAAATAACCGTAACAATCCATTTTTTTACGTGAATAATGTACAAGTTTAATAAATAAATTCATGTTTTATATTCTCTGCATATATACACAATTGTGTATTACTTTTATATCTTTCATATAACTCATTGTCTTTAAGTGCATGTTTGGTACACATAAATCTTTACCTTCTAGTTTTTGTACCGTTTAAAAAGTCTCTAAAAGTTTCTAGTTGTATGTTTGACATGATAATTTTTAAGAGCTTTTCACAAAATAAAAGATCTTTTTTGAGATGCTACACCCGATAAAAGTCCGTGACTTTTAGTATTAATTAGAAAAAATTGACTGTAATAATCTCAACTATTGACGGTCCGCTTATAATAATCCCAACTATCGATTATCTCAGACTAATCCCAACTTTAGTGACATTCCGCAAATAATGGTCCATGACCAGATATGACCTGCTATAACAAGTGAATTTTAAATAGAAATAAAGCGTAAAAATTAAAAGTTGAATTATTTATAGGGATTATTTGTTAGATCTCTTCTCATCCACTTTAGAAACTATTGGAATTTATTTATAGTCGGTCATGTCGGACCATTATTGGCGGAAGGTCACTAAAGTTGGGATTATTCTGAGATAATCGATAGTTGAGATTATTATAAGCGGACCACCAATAGTTGGGATTATTACAATCAATTTTTCCTATTAATTATTCCTAACAGCTTGTATACCAAACAGAACTAAATCAAACAGTCAGCTTTTTGCCAAACAGCTATCACCTTTTCTTTTTAAGATTTTTTCAGTCACTAAAAGATAACAGTTACTAAAAAGCTCTCAAAAATATCTTTTCACATAATTGTAGGGGTGGGCACGGTCCGGTCCGATCCACTATTTTACCGAAGCCGTACCTGGACCGTTACTATTGAAACAGTTCGGTTCGGTTCGGTCTTAGACCTAAACCCGTTCGGTACGGTTTCATTTTCAAAACGGTCCGGTACCATGTCATACCAATGCCACATTTTTCAACAAATTAAAAATTAGTCACCATCCAAAAATTCACACAATTATCAAATTTCCCATTACATAGTTAATGAATTTCATATAAACTATAATAGTATAAAATGTAATTAGTAATACGTAGTAACAAAATCCCCATTATGGATGTAATAAATTAAAATCACTAATGGATGTAATTGCTAGTTCACTGCAAACAGCTTGCAGTGAACTAGCAATTAGCAAAGTGCAAATGGGTAATCAAAGTAATGGTAATATGGTATACATGTATATATAAATATAAAATTATATAAATCAATAAAATTATAATTCGATCCAGTTCGGTCCGGTACCGATTCTCATAAAATGAGAACCGGTCATGGCATGGTTTGGAACCGGTACAGTCCGATTCGGGACAAAATTTTTGAGAACCGTTTGAAACCCTGTTTTCTGGTCCGGTACCATAGCGGTCCGGTTCGATACCATGCCGGTTCGGTAATTTTGCCCACCACTGCATAATTATGCCAAACATACCTTAATTTTCTCTGAATAATTAAGATAATTCAGTGACAGCGCGCGTCAGTGCGATTGTTGTTCTTAATGGCAGCCCGATGGCTAATATAATCCCCAATCCACGTAGGAGTATTTAGCCTATCATAAATGAGGTTTCCTATTTAGAAAATTTTAAACATTAACTTCTATTTTTACATTTTTAACATGTTTTACGCTCCTAATTGAGTGATATGTCTCATGTTTTTTAATTTAATTTTATTCGTTTATGTAATCGACCAATATAGTTTGGTAATTATTGGTCTCATAAAAGTTTGTTTTATGTATGTTTTAATATTGATTTAGAATGGTCTGATTTAGAATTAATTTGAATAACTAGAAATAAAAAACATACATAGTATATCAATAATGAGGATACACCTAAAATAAGAATTCAAAACAATTTTTTTGAAAGAAGATTGCTTATATTAAAATAGAATAAATCATCATCCCATCAACATCAATATACCAAACCCACCTTCTAGACTCTTTCATGCCAACATGCCCTCTCACTTTTTAATCTGACATAAAATGAATCACTCAAAAATGAGCACGACTGTTCAATATGTGAGAGCTTTGAAGCTATTATTGGCCGAAACAATAAAACCCAAGATCAACCAACCTACTACCACGAGAGTCAATAACAACAACAACAGTAAAGTACTTAAAAACCAGCGAAATAAAACCCAAGATCGATCAACCTACTACCCCAAGAGTCAATAACAACAATAACATTAAAGTACTTAAAAATCCAGATTAATACAACTAAATAGAAATAACTAGAGATTATCCTGTGAAGCTTCTCCACTGAGGGGCACCCTTATTCTGATACTTCTGCAAGATGTTCAAAAATGTGTCGGGCGAGCCATAGAGATGCAACTCGTCTTCTTCCCATTTTTGAGACCCTTGGTTCCACCTCTATGCTATTACTGACTGGAACATCCTCCTCGTGATCTACTATCATGCGCTTTTGCTCTACTTTGTCTCTTGCATGCGCCTGTATCCTCCCCATAGCCATACCGATGTGTCCTTCTAAATCTAACTCGTCCCTTTACTACTTTGGGTCTGCCCCTTACTAGTCAGGACTAGCCACTTGTTTCCTCCGGCCTATACTCTCCCTTTGGTAGCTCTAAGCCAAGGCTCGAAAGGCTTTTCCCCCAACTTCACGTCTCCCTCAGGATTGCGAGGACAATACATCTCAGCATGCCCAATGATGACACACAAGAAGCAAAAATTAGGCAATTTCTCATAATGAAAAGTAACACAGAAATTTACCCCTTATTCTTTTTGCAAGAACAATTTCCTTTTCAAGGGTCTACTTAAATCCAAACTAACCCTTATTCTCATAAAAGGGTTCTCAGAAAAATTATATTCATCAGCCTTAATGAATCTCCCCAAAAATTCCATTTTTCATAGCATTATTCATAGTATAATAGCCTATCGGAATGTCCATGAACTTGTATCCAAAAGTAAACTCAGCTCTATTCAGGAAAACAATCCTAGGTAAATCCCCTTCCTCGAGCTTATACAGAATATTAAGTTTTTGAACATATATCCAAGGACCTTCCCCCATAACACGGAACGTATAATTCTCGTTATAAAACTGAAACATATAGCGTCTAGCCTCCAATTCCGCTACAGTTACACCTTTAATAGGTTTCCACATGGACACCTAGGCATGGATCGGGCCCGTGCCGGTTCGGGCGGGCTTTTTTTTCCGGAATGTTGGGCCCGGAACCGGCCCGGGTTGATATCGGGTCCGGGCCAAACCGGGCCAGGTCGGGCCGGTTCAATGTATTTTTTTTTTTGCTTTCTAATTAACCCCCGACCCCCCCCCCCCCCCCCCCACCCCTCAAACCTCCCCAAAACACCCAGCCAGGCCAGACCTACCCAAGGAAAAGAAAAAAAATTGAAAAAAAATGAATCGGGCCCGGCTCGGACCTCCCGGGCCGGTTCATGAAAATCAAGGCCCGAGCCCGGCCCGCCAGGCCCGCCCAAACCGGACTAAAGCCCGGAACCGGCCATCCGGGCCCGCACAGTAGCGGGCCGGTCCGGTTCCCGGCCCGGTTCAGCCCGGTTGGGTCCATCCCTACGGACACCATACTATCTCAGAAACTAGAGAAACATATTGATTTTTTTGATGTGATGATCCCAACAAGTGCTAGCCCCACATCCGCTTCGCCAAGAGCTGTGGCTTCCCCCAATAGAATCTCATCGCCTTCATCCATCTCCATTTTGCCGTGAGCATGAGTCTACATGGCCACCTCCCTTGTTCTGCGTGTGGGTCACCTCCATTTCCTTGCCGAAATACTGAACAAACTCGCACAGTCCGAAGAAAGCTACCTCTGCACCACACGATTGTCCGAAGCAATCCTGCTCAATCCAATTCGAACGAAGTACAATCACTATACAAAAGCCCGGTATGAAGAGAATCCCTACACCACCCTGCTCGAAAAAAACGCAGAGCCACCGGGCAAGCTATACTAGCTGCTTCCAAAAGATGTTCGAACTTAAGAATTCAAAACAATTAAAATTCCAAAACCTACGTTAATAAGTTTTTGTTTTATATATACAAATAATTGTCATCTTTAGATTTTGCAATTGTCTTTTCGCATACAAAACTTAAATACATTACATAATGTTGTTACCAAAATTAGTACTATTTTTCTAGTAGGAAAACAATTTATCCAATTTAGAAAATAAAAATGATGTTACCATTTTGAATATTCACATTCTTTTAAGAGCATATCCAATACAATATTATGGACGGTGCACATGTGAAATGAGAGAGGTACAGACAGAAAAACAAATCTTTCTTTCTTTCTTTCTTTCTTTCTCTTTCTTTCTTTCCTTCCAAGGTTTTATATAATTTTAGCAATTTTTTACATCAATATCAACTGTTATGTCTATATATAGACACCCGTGTTGACATTGTGAAAAAACTTATCAAAAGTATATAAAACTTCCCAAATAATGAGAGAGATGTATTGTTCATTAATATATATATATATATATATATATATATATATATATATATATATATATATATATATGATCTTGTCCAGCACTTCTCCGTCCAAACGGCGGTTTTCGGACGGGGGAGTGCTGGACAAGATCATTTCTCTCTCTCTCTCTC